GAATTTGCAACCACCAATCCAACTCTACAGAGAATACTGCAAAACATTCTAAAGAGAGGGAAAAGCACAAGGATTCCAGGAACAGTGGCAGAGAGGCCCCAACAAATGGAACAAAAAGCGAAATGCAAAAGACAAACAGACAACTAATGATGGAAAAAGAGCACAACAGAAATGAGGCAGAGAAAGTTGGATATAATTTCCAAAATAGATAGCCTAGATAAACTAACTTAAGGGAAAAAAGAGAGAATCACAGGCAGAGTGAATCAAGAGGTAGGGTCCACCAAGAGGCTCTTTATAGAAAATATAATTAACACAAAGAAGGGTATATGGACCAAAATCAAATATGAGAAAAATGGAACTTTATGTGATAGGGAACCAGAGAGTAATAGGGGTAACTGGACCAGTATTTATGGATAGGTTGAACAGACAGGCTTTAATAAGTGAAGAAATATAACTAGAAATCCTGTCTAGGAGTGAGAAAGTTTGGAAATATTTAGGTAAATAGTAGGTTGTCCTCCCAATATAAAACCGTGAGTGCTGGGGAGACCCAAAAATACACAGTTCACCCTGGGGGAGTGAAAGGGGAGGAATAGTCTTTAAAAAGACAACAGAAGGGGCTGAGAATTTAGCTCACTGGCATAAGCGCCTGCCTTGCAAGCAGGCAGTCGTGAGTTCGATCCCTGGTACCGATAAAAATGAAAAAGACCAAAAAAAAAAAAAAAAAAAAAAAAAAAAGACAGCAGAAGATATAGCTAATAGTGTATCAGGAATTAAAACCTTTATTACTCGCACCACTCTGCTTGGTTGGAACTTGTTCCATCCTAATTTGTATACAAGCACTGGATCTGAGGGCACAGACAGCTGTCCTGAAGATATCAGGACATAGTATTAACTCAATCAGGATCCCTGTATGACTTATACTGTTGTATCATGACTGATCTTAGTTAAATCTGACATGTTTGATTGCTGTCTATTATTGACAGATTTTATTCAAAACTATCAGATTGCTGGTATCAAGTTGAGGAATATAGACAACTATACTGAAAATGACAATGATTCACTACAATATCCATTCTGATTTGATTACTACCTGTTTTTTAGCTCTACACTATCTGCCAAGTTGTATTTCTATGAATTCTGTTATGTACTAATATATTCAATTACACTTTATCTGATGATATAGCCAATTCTGTTGCTGATAACAAGAAACAGCACAGTGACCACAGTGACCATGGTAGAACTCCTTATACTCCTGTATACAGCAGTTTTATGTGTCTATAGGAATATGCTTAGTTCTGTCATTTGTTCTGTTTCTCTTTCTAATATAGAAAGGATAGAAATACAGGTTAAGACTCATCCTTGCCTAAAACTTATAAACAGTTTATGAGAACTGATCTTATGACACATGATGAAGTGAACAAATACTTTGAAGGAAAGAAACGGGCACTGGAGTATCCAGTGCTGATTCCAGAGTGTTATGATGTGAAATCCAGCAATATTATTAATCTTTGTTCAGAAGGATTTTAATCTACTAAGTTTTGTTAGGTCTCAACATAAATGAAGATATGGATAAATGCGTACATGTCTAAGTGTATAGGATTGATAGCCATATTACTTAGTTTTTGTTGGATAGTTGAACAGAACTGTTTGTAGTCCCCTTGGTTGAATTCCCATTTATATGTTCCACTTTTATTTCTTGAACAACTATTTGTGGGGGGACAATATGTATACACCAACTAGTTATTTATTACTGTTTATTTCTTTTCTTTGAAAATATGTACTATTTCTGCCCGTTTTGTTTTGTCTTTCTTTAAATTAAAAAAAAAAAAACTATTTCCATGTTCAGTTAGACACAAACCAAAGTAAATCTGTCTGAATAGCAAAAATCCCAGTGAAAGTTAAATTTACTTATATGTTATATAACAACTAGGCTTATCACACTGTTTGTCATTCTACGACTAGGCTTTAATGAGATCATCTGATGTAAAAGTACTAAACCAGAATGAGCAATGACTAGGGGAAAAAAAGGAATGTTGGAACTCTCAAAGTTCCAGGAGAGGAAAACAAGAATAGGGGGTCACTGACAATTGAAGAAAACTAAGATTTTGGAGGGGAACACTGTAGGGAGAGAGGGAGAATATTTTATAGTGAGAACTGCCAAAAATCCTTCTTTTCCTATTTTTTCTATTATAAATCACTGATGTTAATTTAACAATAACTAATGATGAAGCAAATTGAGTTGATTATGTGTGTTAATCTTATTAGCACCATCCCTCTTTCGATATCCAATATGGATTATAATCACAGTGAATTAACAAATTTTATTACCCACTGATAAAAGCCAGCTCTGATTTTCAAACTAATAATGAGTGATGTAAGCAGATTCTGACACTTCTAATAATGGGCAAATGAAACATCTGCTATTTAGAGTTACTGAGCATATAGCAAAGTTAAAACTTTCTCCTTTCAGAACAATGGGCAATTAGAAAATTTTAAATATCTTCCCACTAATACAAAACCTTAAAAGACGTAACAATCATATTGGAACGTGAACTAAGCTTACTTGTGACTAAAGCAGCTAAAAACATCATTCTGCATGGATAGTACAGTACATGCCATATATACAAAAGTGATCTGGGGAATTACTACTCACCTGTGTTTGTTCCTCTGGAAGAAGATCGAATATAGCTTCATGCATTTTTGCCATTTGCTTACAAATATTCCTAAAACAGGCAGAAGGAACGGGAGCTTTCACCTCATACTGGCAGAGAAAAATAACGAGAATTATGCTTAGGTACTTTGATTGTATATTGTCTTCACTATTCTCAAGACATATTGCTTAAGGCCAGGGATTTAGCTCAGTAGCTTAAGTGCCTGCCTGGTGAGTGCAAGGTCATGAGTATGATCCCCAGTACTGGGGGAAGAAAAAACAAAAGAAAACATATGCTTAATTTTATGAGGAAATGTCAAGCTGTATGCCAAACTGGTTGGGCTATTTTACAATACTACCAGCAATATATGAAGACTTTAATTTCTTTCTTTTTTTTTTTAATTTTATTTTGAAAGTAGTAAAATACAACAGAACAAGACAGAATAAAGCCAACTAAGATCGTACAGTGAAATTAGTACAGAACTTCACAGCAGGTTTCTGGGATAACAGTAATAGGTATCACAGTATATTTCGTTATCTTTACAATAGTTGTTCTTTCAATCACATATATTAAAATAAAATGAAATACAGAACATTATAGAACTTATCAAAACAGAATACTGAATAGAGCAGTACCATTAATCAGAATAGAGCAAAACAGTAATAAAAATATTTGCCTTCAAAGAGATGGTAGAAGGAAGTCCCCCTTATTTGCTATGGTCAACCTCCCAAGAGATGCTCAGATTTCTGATTCCCATTTGTTAAGGGGAGGCGGGGGAGAATGACAGGAAAAGGGTGGTAGAGGAAGTGGATGTTTGACTCTAGGCCATGCACCAGTAGGTTCACTATTGCTTAGCACAGAGGCAGGCTGGTTGCTTGGTTTCCCAGCTTCTTAAGTTCCAACATGGTGTGGATCTCAGAAGACACTGGTGGTTCTCCCCTGGAGGGGCCATAGTCTGCCACACTGCAGCCACTTACCAGGGAGGGGAGCTGCTTGCTTGGTTTCCCAGCATCCTAAGTTCCAACATGGCGCGGATCTCAGGAGACACTGATAGTTCTCCCCTTGGAAGGGCCGCAGTCTGCCACACCACTGCCGCTTACCAGGGAGGCAAGCTGCTTGCTTGGTTTCCCAGCATCCAGGGAGGGGCGGTGCTTGCTTGGCTTCCCAGGGTCCTAAGTTTTAGAATGATGCGGATCTCAGGAGACACTGGTGGTTCTACCCCTGAAGGGCCACAGTCTGCACACCGCTGCCTCTTACTAGGGAGGCAAGCTTCTTGCTTGGTTTCACAGTGTCCAGGGAGGGGAGGTGCTTGCTTGGCTTCCCAGCGTCCTAAGTTCCAACATGGTGGGAATCTCAGGAGACACTGCTGGTTCTACCCCTGGAAGGGCCACAGTCTGCCACATCGCAGCCACTTACCAGGGAGGGGAGCTGCTTGCTTGGCTTCCCAGTGTCCTAAGTTCCAACATGGTGTAGATCTCAGAAGCTGCTGGTGATTCTCTCCCTGGAAGGGCTGCAGTCTGCCACACTGCAGCCACTTGCCAGGGAGGGGAGCTGCTTGCTTGGCTTCCCAGTGTCCTAAGTTCCAACATGGTGTAGATCTCAGAAGCTGCTGGTGATTCTCTCCCTGGAAGGGCCACAGTCTGCCACATCGCAGCCACTTACCAGGGAGGGGAGCTGCTTGCTTGGCTTCCCAGTGTCCTAAGTTCCAACATGGTGTAGATCTCAGAAGCTGCTGGTGATTCTCTCCCTGGAAGGGCTGCAGTCTGCCACACTGCAGCCACTTGCCAGGGAGGAGAGGTGCTTGCTTGGCTTCCCAGTGTCCTAAGTTCCAACATGGCGCAGATCTCAGGAGCTGCTGGTGGTTCTCCCCTGGAAGGGCCACAGTCTGCCACACCACTGCTGCTTACCAGGGAGGGGAGGTGCTTGCTTGGCTTCCCAACGTCCTAAGTTCCAACATGGTGGGAATCTCAGGAACCGCTGGTGGTTCTCCCCCTGGAAGGGTCATAGTCTGCCACACCGCTGCTGCTTACCAGGGAGGGGAGGTGCTTGCTTGGCTTTCCAGTGTCCTAAATTCCAATATGGCGCAGATCTCAGGAGCTTCTGGTGGTTCTCCCCCTGGAAGGGCCGCAGTCTGTCACACCGCAGCCACTTACCAGGGAGGGGAGGTGCTTACTTGGCTTCCCAGTGTCCTAAGTTTTAGCATGGTGTGGATTTCAGGAGACACTGGTGGTTCTCTCCCCGAAAGGGCCACAGTCTACCACACCGCTGCTGCTTACTTAAGACTTTAATTTCTCTAAAACTTACTTGCTTTTTTAAAAGCTAAAGTAGTGGGTATGAAGTGTTACTTCATTTTGGTAAGATCTTTACCTCTTTCAACTGATTAAACAGCGACTCCTCATTCATGTCTACCTGGTATTTCTTGAGGTCATAGTGGGTTAGAATGAGCTGAGTAACTTTATAAAAGAAAAGAGAAAGAAATCCAGACACAGACACGCACAAAAGGACGAAAATTATCTGAAGACAGAGGTAGGTTCTGGTATAATGCAGCACAAGTCAAGGATTCACAGCAATTCCCAGAAGCTAGTAAGAGGCAGGGAAGGAATTCTTCCCTATAGCCTTCAGCCAGAAAATGACCTGTCTCATAGCTTGATTTAGGATTTTTTAGTCTCTGGAATTGTGAAAAAAGAAGTGTCTGGGTTTTGTTTTTGTTTTTTGTCTTTTTGAAACAGGGTCTTGTTATGCAGTTCAGGCTGGCCATGCACTCATTTTGTAGTCCAGGCTGGTCTTGAACTTGCAACAATCCTCCAGCCTCAGCCTCTTGAGTGCAGAGATACAGGTATGTGCCACCATGTCTGACAAGTTTGTTTTTTTAAGTAAACTAGTTTGTGATAACTGGTTATAGCTGAACTAAAAATCAAAAACCCTCCCCTAAGAGCTTTGTTCACGTTTACAGAGTGTAGTTTGTTTTCTGTAAAAATGCTATTCTTTTCCATTTTACTTTCACTATCACATTTCTTCACCTACAGGTGACACTATACTTTCCTCTCAGTCCTTAAAATTTATTTTTTGTCACCACTCAGAAATTTCTCTGTGAAAAAAATCACTAAAGACATCAGAGCTTTCAAATTCAGTATCTTTCCTCACTTCCCTTCCTTATCACCCTGCAGCATTTCTACACTGTCACACGTAAAATCCTATCCTACGCAACAAACAGTGTGCCTACCTATTTCTTCCCCTTTTGACTTTCCTCTTCTTCAGTCTCTAGTCATCTAAGTACAAGGCTTCATCAGTAATCCTCCTTAATGTGCTCTTTTTTCTCATCAATTTCATCCAATATCATGGCTTAACAACTTTCTTGGATTTAAGTCTCACATTTCCTAAATGTTCCATTCCAATACTGATTTTACCATGATGTTTCCAATTCTATTCTACCTCATTGTTTTATTGGTACTGCTATTATATAATCCTCCCAGTCACACACACACCAACTTGGAATCCCCGATTCAGTTTTTACTCTCCCTTTTCCTTGTTTTCTTGTATTAAATCAACATGTAATTCTCATCAATTATACTTCCAAATTATTTTGTACATTAGTTTGTTCTGTTGGCCAGAGTTTATTAATCTCCACACTAATATCATTTTGGCCAGGCCAACTTTCTGTTGTAGGTGCTGTCCTAGGTCTTGTGAAATGTTTAGCAGATTGCAGGTTTCTACTCATCAGTTAGCAGTAGCATCTTGTCCTCCATCATCAAATTGTGATAGTCAAGAGGTGACAAATTTTCTAAATTTCCTGAGACGGGAGCATTAAAAGTGCCCCTAAATCACTTCTTTACCTATAACATCTTATATATTCTAACTCTTTTTTGTAGTTATAGATACATTTCCCCTATAAGATATTTTGCTGTTTGAGTGCAAGATGGAAGGATTATTCACATGCATGTAATTTACAGAATGAATGACCACATGGGGGCTAACACATTAGACTAGCTATTAGTATAATAAGATATTAATGTTTCATGCTAACAATGCAACTGTATTCCATTTATTAGCTTATTAGAACTATTATATATTAGATTAGGCCCCTGTTGCCAAAATTAAAATTTCAGAAAAGAAAATGAAAAGCCAAAAACTGAAATTCAAAAGCCTAACTTGTCTATTATTTTGGTACGAATTGAAAAACAGGATTAAATTCTCAGCAACACAAGAAAGCAAACAGGAGAGAGAGTGCCAAAGAGAGACTTACTAATACAAAGACAATGTAATATGTCAGGTAAAAGAAGGTATCAGTGGGGAAAATAAAAAAAGAACACTAAAACAAAAAAATTCAACCAAACAAATAATAGGGAGAAGGGTACTGCTTTGTAAACAAACAAATTACATATAATAATCAAATGCAATGAATGAATCAGGTAGAAGATTTTGTCAATAAATTATTTTAAAAATATATTTTAGGGTAGTTGGTAATTTTCAAATATAAAAATAGATGATATTGAAGAATTATTGTTAATTTTGTTAGGTGTGAAAATGCTCTTTTGGTTATGGAAGAATGTGTTCTTAGTTTAAAAAACAGACTTAGGTATTGAGAAATATTACAATGTCTCAAAATCATTTTAAAATATTTTAGCAAAATGTTATTAATTGTTAAATATAAGTGATGAATATAAACAGAGAATGCTCATTAAATAATTATTTATCTTTATGGAAAAAACAGAAAACATAAAGCAAGTTGTCACAGGGGAATTCTTGTTCAAAAATTGTGTATGATCAACCTGAAAGACTAAAGTTGGGATTTTAGGAGTACTGGCACCTTTTCAGTTTTGTTTTCATTATTTCCACAGCCTACTACTAGTTCTACGTATTTAACATTTATTCTACACTGTTAGCAGTTTACATTCTTCTGTCTTATTACAGGGTAAACTTCTTGACAATAGAATACGTTAGTGACCTCCGTTATACAGACAAATACCTTATACAAAAAAGGAATTTGTAGAATAGAATTCCTTTCGAGCTTAGATTGTACTTGACATCTATGAAGAAAATAGAGAATTTCTAAATTTTTCTCAAATAAAACTAGAAACTTAATAGTCATAAACAGAAAGGTATGTGTGTACATAACTATAAATTCCTTAAACTTCTTAAAAAAGAAGCATATAGTAACATTTATGTTATCAACTACACTAAAGGTTTTCAAAGTGTGGTCTGAGGAGCTCCTGGGAGTCACAGCTCCTTTCAAGGAAGCTGGTAAATAGAAACCATTTTCATAATAGTACTAAGACCTTAATTATCTCTTTGTACTGTCACTCTTTCATGATTAAATAGTGGGGATTTTTAGATGACTTGTAATGATGTTATCATTTTGAAGACTAACAGAAGGTATGTTTCGCATATTCTTGTGTTTTAAAATAGCATAGTTTTAATTTCTAATATGGTGTGCTTATTGATAAATTACATAAACAAAAGTCCTCAATTAATTTTAAGGATACAAAGAATCTATTGATTGAAACTTAAGAACTATTATACCACTGCAGTTTTACTTTCCAAACATTCCTTTGTGAATGTCATTTTCAAAGGATTAGACATGTCAATGTATATAAATGGGCATCATTTTAGAGCTACTGTAGTGATTAAATGATATTTTCCTAAAATACCCTCCCATTATAGTTGAGAATTCTTTGTAGAACATCACTTTGCTTAACAACCTATTGGGAATGAAAATCAAAGAAGAAGCAAATACTGAAATTGATTAGTTACAACAGAAATAATGGAATACTTCACATTGTAGAGCATTTACACATTGCAGCCTGCAAAACAAAGCAACACACTTTACCTCAAATTATTTAATTTTATCCTTTCTATTCTGTCTCTGCAAGGCTTTCAAACTAAACTCTACAGTGGACCTTTGATCTACAAACTCAATTTATTCTCAAAGACTTGTTGTAACTCAAGTTGTCAATTGACGGCTTAGCCTTCAAAGTCTCTGCCCTACATACAGGCAGATCACAGTATCCTTAGAGAGACACTGGCCCAGGATTTCTCAAATAACTCCATACAGGAAAAGATGTTGTAACATTTCTTACAGAACTCTTTAAGGGTTAAATCTGTAACTGAGATCATCTTGAAGCCTAAGTGGCCAGCACTAGGGTCATAACAAGACTTTGTAAGTCAAAACTAAACTTCTGGTCATAAACCAAGTTATTCATATGTCAAGCTAGACATACTTGAGGGTCCATTGTATTTTGAAGACAGTATATATTTGTCAATGCAACCAATATAAAAGATACCTGTGTGCAATAATTTCTACTATTGCTGGAATTATCTTCCCTACTCCTTCTAGCCCTTTAGAAGATAAACATCAACTACTTGGGAAATCTGATCAATCTCATGAGTTATTTTTAACTTCTGGAGCATTTGATTTGTTAGACTGGTTGGACCACTTACGGGTAGCTATGGTCATCACAGATACAATGTTTTTTTGAAAAACTGTTAAAAATTCTACCAATCTAATTTCCTGAAAATTTCTTATCACTTAACTTGTATATAAAGATTCTCTACAAGATGAAAAGTCTTGTGACTAAGCAAAGCCTAATGATTTTCATAAATTGTTACCTTTGATAACAGCTTGTCAAATAAGCTGTCCATTATCGCTACAAGCTTCGCTGATATTTCAGCTATGTGGTCATGGTAATCCTGTAATGAGAAACAGTATGGTACTTGTATTTTAAAGTTCTTGAGATACATCCAAAACACACTTAAAAATTAAGGAATTAAATTTATGACACTTCAATAGAAAACACATGGATAATACCTTAGTGATATGATCAAAATGCCTAAGCATGTTATATTGCTTAGGTGGTAGTCGAGCTTCAAAATGAGCCCGGATCACAGGAATGTAGTGCACAATTAACTGCAAACATCGTGAAGCGAGAGCTGAAGAATGGATATATAATAGAAACAAAAGATGTTAGTAGATCTTAATTACAAATTAAGTAAAAAAAAGTCAATTTTATACAGATTTCAGTTTATTTCATAAAGGAGGAACACCATGGCAGAAGGCAACGCATTTTATTTTTCTTAAGAAAAAAATTTGGTAGTGAAATACATAATGAACTTTACCAAGGGACTGTAGTTGTGAGAAGTACCAGTGTAAGGACAGTAACGAGACAACTGATTCTCGTCTGATATTTGAATATCCTTCAGCCCAGTGCACTGCATACAGCATTCAGGTCATAAATCAAATAACAAAGTTTTAGAGTGATTCAGCTTCCAAGTAACTTATACTTGTTGCAGTAGAAGTTCCTCATAACATTTCCCCAGAGATTAGTTTTTAAGTTATAATACATAAAATAATGAAGTAGCACTTGTCACTTTTATAGCCTTTACTTAGGGCTATTAAAACATTAGATATAATAAAAACATCATAAGAACAGTGACAATGCTTATCTTTCTGCTGCTCAAGAAGTGCTTCTGTCTATAAATTCCTATTAAATTGTATTTTTAGAAAAAAGAAAAGTGGCATCATTATAACACCTCAGTATATGAATTAAATGGAAGAATCCATACCCAAATTTTTTGTAGTTATTGTTTTTAGTCCAACAACTTGCAATGCACCAGCTCCAAGAACTAACTGGCAACTTCTTGAATTGAAGTACTAACAAAGGAAGAAGAAAAAAAAAAAAAACTCAACAATTTATTAAAAACTGATCTTTACATGCTGGCAATGTGTTAACTGTCCTAAAAACATATTCTTTTGTCATGTCATTCAAGGACTTTATGGAAGCAATTAAGACCTATTTATGCAAGAATGAAAAAAGAGGGAAATTCTAAACCTTAATATTTACCTCTAGTGGGAGAAAAAATTGAGAAATTAGTTTTTAGAAATTTTCATTCAAAAACTAGCTCAGTTTCAAAACTAGCTCAGTCTTATTTTCTTCACTAAAACTCAAGTTCAGGATAAAATTAACCAACAGAAAATAGGTTTAAAAAAATAAAGCCTTTCCTATATACTCACAGTAAAAATATGTTAGTATGAAATGGCTGATAAAATTATCATCACATTTTCATTTTATATCAATGGTTTTGAAAGAATGATGTAAGAAAAATTTCTAACCTTAGTGAGATGAATTTTGTAAAGTTCAGTGAATTTCTTCCATGCACATGTGAAACCAGTCCAGGTTTTTTGACCTAAGTTGCCTCAGTCATGTTCAGCACCTAACGAACAAATCATCTCCTGTCTCCAATGTTATTAACAACTCTATGGGTGTAATGAGGAATCACTAAACGTGGAGTGAGAAGGAAGCAGGCAGTCCTTTTTCCAGTAACATGTTGTGATGTAACCATGATCAAATATCACAAAATTAACACCTTGATGGTAACCTGACCTTGAGAGTTGAGAGATTAGTTATACCCTAACGATTCAATTATTCCAAATATTTTTTCATAAAGTGGTGAAGCCATACATACCTTCAGTAAATCTGACAGACGAGTAAGCATGTCAGTAGTAACAGATGGGATGTTATCCACACACTGGCAATACTCAAGAATAATTCTTATTAACAGCAATACAGTCCTATAAAAAGAAAGATGGCACACAAATCAAAACAAGAAAAACTATACTGATTTGGCATATAAAATCAATCACCTATCAGTTCAACGCATCTGAGTACGCTAATCTTGCAACTGTTAAATTATGTGTTTGTCTACACGCGCAGCAAGTACTGGCCTAATGCGAGGCAAGAAAATTACCTAAGGTGCAATGTTCAAGAAGGCATTCATTCTTTAAGTTGTGTACTTGTAGAATTAGCACTTGCATGACACTAAAAATGAGTTCATCAAATTTTGTGCTCTTGGCAAAGCACTCCCTGCGAGGTTTTCTGACCTGGAAAGTTTTTCACTAAGGCAAGTATTCTATTCTTTGGCCAACCCTGACATAATGACAAAAAGAATAGCCAGTTGTTTTTGATTACCTATGTAGTCAGTCCTAAATTATAACTACTAAAAGCAATGAAGGGAGCCCTTAGTGAGATAAAAGAGAGGTGCAATGGCTTCTAATATCACACGTCTCTTACAAAGTTTAATAGTAGGTCACAAGAGGTCCTGCAAAGATAATAAATTACTTCAATGGCAGAACAGGTCACAAGCTGCAAAAATACATTATTGGGAGGTTAAATGACACTGAATTTAAGGGGGTAAAGGACCATTTATTATAGAGCATCCAAGTTAATTGTGCAGCTCTGAAAAATCCATGTAAAGCCGGAGATACAGTTCAGCGGCACAAGTGCCTGCCTGGCAAGCGGGAGGTCATGAGTTTGATCGCTGGCACTGAAAAAATATCCAAGTAAATTTTTTATAAAAGTCTGCAGAATATCAACAAATAGTGACTCCAAAAAGATAGCTTCTAATCTTTATAATGGCTGACCTCTTAGTCCATATGTTATTCTCTCTATATATTCCTACAGCCTGCTCTATGTGGCGTGCGTCCATTGTATATCTTCTGTAATAGCCTCTCGGAAGATATAGTTACCTTTCAGCCAGGGAAATGAGCTTTTTAGCAATAGACTCTTTGCCTAAAGAGCTGGAAAACCAGATATCCAGAGGGGACCATTTCTAATCACACACATGAAGCATAACCAGATAACAGATAGTCAGAAAAATCATATTAAGGTGAAGGGGCAAATTAATAAGCAGATGAAAAAAGCTCTGCCCTACCAGAAAGTAGGAAAAACTCCAAAGGAAAAAGAAAATGAGTTTAGAATTTGTGTACTCCAGAAGCTTGAATATACAGACTGAGAAAAAGCATCAATTTTTTTAAAAAAAGCATCAATTCTGTACATACATTTTGAGTGTAAGCATTGTGGTACAAAGAAAAAATTAAAATGGTAATAATTTTAGAATAATAAAAAATAAAAAAGATAGATAATTCCCCTACCTTTGCAAAATTTAAAATCTTAACAAGGAGACATAAACACAAAGAAATAATTCTAATTATTTTTTAGTACTGGGGACTGAACCCAGAGTCTTTGCACTAAATTACATCTCCAGCCATTTTTAAATTTTAAGACAGGGTCTCACTAAGTCACCAAGGTGTCTAGGCTGGACTCAAACTTGCCATCCTCTTGCCCCAGGCTTCTGGAGTGCTGAGAATACAGGTGTGCAGCACCACCCTCAGCTAAGAAATAATTCTGTTGTACTAAAGTAAATGCCATGATAAAGGGACACAGAGATACTTTCTTCCTTGAGAGGTCATCTACTTAAAAAAACATAATAACATGAAATGAAGAATACAAAAGAATGATGGCTGAGATGTTGGGAGTTAGACATAAATGTCTCCATTTGGGGACATGGTATATTAACCATTAACTGTCAATGCTGCAACTCTAGTAACTGAAGAATAAAATCAATAATCTCTGATATGTTTAATTTACAAGGGGGTGATAAAAGGTCATATGGGATCATATATATAAAAATACATAAAAGCATAAAGTGCCATTAAAGAAAATAAAGACATTTTGTAAGAGAATATGAAGATATCATCTTAATTATCTATTTAATAAAAGGAATATAAAAATATCAGACAAATGACTCTGGAATTTGTACAATTCTCAGTTAACTTGGAATAAAGACATGTTTATTAATAAAAGTAAATGACCTAGTGATTCAAATGATAATAAAAACAACTGCAGCAGAACTGTACTAAATCCTTTAAAGCATGAGCTGTTTAATTCTCATAATATTTCTACATATAGAACTATTTTCCACATTTGGAGCCCACAATTTAAAACTACTATCCTACATAAGAAACCTGTGGAAAAAAAACTGCAAAAGCCTAGGATGGCAACAGCATCAATGGAGCCACTGAAAACCCCTGGATTCTCTACACTTCATTTTACTGTTCATGAGAAAAGCTTTTTGTTAAGCCTATGTAGTCCTTGATGATGATAGTCTTTAAAGCATACTTTAGACTACAGGAAATAAAAAAGCAATCTATAAAATATTGTTTAAATATTTTATAGGATTGGAATTTTTATTTCAAAATTTTCAATTTAACTCAAGAGGAAACTAGAATACTTATGTTTCAAATAATTGACTCAACTAATGAAGAACATGTACTACTCACCCAACAACGGCATACTGTTGTCCCCCAACAATAAGAACTTCAGCTGGCTTCCTTTCTTCTGTAGCTAGAGTAAACCAAATAAACAAGAAAGAAGAGAGTACATGATGAAACAAAATACTGGTGAAAAAGCTGAAAACAATAGCCCCTATTTAAGGCTTGGTGTGGTGGCACATAGCAGTAATCCCAGCACTTAGCACGCAGAGGCAGGAGGATCTCTGTAACTTTAAGGCTAGCCTGTGCTACACAGTGAGCTCGAAGCCAGCCTGGGATACATAGAAAAACCCTGCCCCCAAAAAAGTTCCTATTTTGAGTTTAAAACCACCCTATTTCTAAAACTAAATATCTAATTGTTGACAAGCAATTTCATACAGTAAATACATTACACTGGGTTCAGAGTAAAAAACATATAAATCTGGGTGGCAGAATTGCCTATTGTTAGAAATTAGGTCAATTGCTTAACTTTTTTGAGTCTCAATATCTGTAACATGAAATGTAGGTAAATAGTATCTGTCTTTCAACGTAGTTGTTAATGTGATAGTGATAATGATTACAAACTGCCTATCCTTTAAGCCTGGTAAATGATAGATGATTAGGAAGCTTTGTTTTTGTTTTTTTCTTTGGTACTAGGGATCAAACGCATGACCTTGCACTTGCCAGGCAAGTACTTGTGCCACTGAGCTAATTCCCCAGCCAGGGAAATAGTTTTTTAAAAAGTTTCAAAACTTTTTGGAAAGATAGAACAAGCACTTCAACTGGCTGTCATTATTATCATTTTTAGAATGAATTAATTTCTAAATTCAATGAAGAGATTATACATTTAATTTTTAAAATTTCAACACAAGTTACTTTAAGCAGGTGATTTTTACAATTGTTATATAATAAAATTTGATATTTTGAAAGGACAGTAACAGTAGACTGGATTATTATCTGGATTAACCAAAGTACTTTGATTATCTTCTTACTCTGAATTATTTGTTAAATATAAAACTTCAGCTTATCCTACCTCAAAAAACCCTTCTCTCAACTACCTTCTGAGTGGATTAAGGTAATAGTCTCTCCAATTTCACTAATGTGTTGAGTTACCACTTTGTCACTTACTTCCCTGTACAGCCAAACTTATTAAAAAGGTATACTTACTTGGCTATCTATCCTTAGCACTTAACTACACACTGATTCCCAACACTACACTGAATTACTTGCATTGCAAGTAATCTCCTATATGTCAAACTTATTGCCATTATCTTACTTTCTCTTATAGCACAGTTGCATTTTGTGCAAATGTATAGTACACAATTTGAGAATATTTTGTTAAAAAATTAAGCCTTCACTAAATGCAGAAAATTTGCAATAATGCAACTACATTCTCCATTAATAATATTCAAAACTTACTAATTCAAAATGTATGCAAATTTAATTATCACATGACTCCATTTCCACTTGTATACAAAAACATCTCCTTACCATTACATCTCTTTCTTATCAAACTTAACCGTGTTTTGTCACCAATGACAAAATTTTCTCATGTTGAACTTCCAATTTCAACATCCATGTTCTTGATTTCTTCTTACTTCTCCACTCCTTAGTTCTTAGTCTTGCATTTTTTTTTTTTGCCCTCTACAGTTTACATTTTGCTTTCCTCTACCATATATTACTTGTGATCAGTCATATATTTTCAGTTTCATTCATTAAACTTAGCTTTTTTAAAAACAGAATTATAGCTGTTATCATTCTCAATGAATGACACAAAATGGAAGCTAACTAGTGTTTGCTTGATGAAAACATATCTCTAGACAATTTGATATAAGAGTTTAAAAATACTTAACTATAAAATTACATAAAGCTAGGTTCAAATACCAGGTATAATTTTTGTAAAATTCTTCAATCCCTCTTAACCCTTAAGGATCCTCATTGTTAAGGCAACAATAGTAATGTAATTGTAGGTTGTTCTGAGAATAAATTGAAGTAATACCTGTAAAACGCATCATCAAGTGTTAGCATGTAGCTAACACTCAATAAGTATTTGAAATTATTACTATAAACACTTTTCATGTAAAGTGTTTACATGAAAAGTACTCTGCTTCATTATTAGTTTTAGGCTTTTCAAGGCAATATAAATTTTAAAAATATTACATGTTAGTACAAAGTAGACAAACACCATGAATTCAGAAGAAAATGTGAAAGAATATACATACTCCTGGGTTTCTTTCCAGGTAAAGCAATCTTTCCATCTGATATAGAATCAACAAGATCCTGAAATTCTGCTGGAACATCAGCTTGCTTCCAGCGCTCATTATCCAAGAGAAGGCTACACAAAATTAAAATGAAAGGAAAGCTATCTTTAATAATATTTCAATACCATCTTCTTTGATTGAAAATAAAATTAAAGCTCAGTTGAGTATACAACACTTTAAAAGTACTGAATAACTCAATAAATTGGAATCATTCATAAGTAGTATAGTACCTATTTTTTCAGAAAGTATTTTTATATCTCTTAGCCTAACCAAAGAGAATGATGAAACATTTGTTACTTACGTTTGAATGAGAAAAAAGTCAACCTAATGAGGATCTTTCTGATGAGTACTTTATAACAGAAGTAAATATTCTAATTCTGTTGTGAAAGCTAAAAAATGTGATTTTAATTCCATAATTTGCTTTTATCAAAACTTTCTTCCATTAAGAACTTTTGGTGATCCAGCCAATTAAGTTTTCTTTTTACAATTAACAAACAAAACTATACTTTACAATGAACAAACAAAACTGAAGAATAAAACATACAGTGATGATACCTGAGCTTGGTTTTTCTTTCTTCATGAAACCTATTTACAAACTTGTTAGCTTGGCTCTGAAGTGCTCCAAGTAATGACGTGCTTTTTCTTCCACAGATATGCTCAGTGTCTAAAATGAATGTTTCCATTAATCTGGAAAGTGTTATAAATTCCATGGAATTTAGTTTCTCGAGAAAACCATCCTAAATTTTAAAAATAACACAAAAATCACGAGAGGACGTCAGTATATCAAATATGATAAGCTATTTAACCAACATAGTTTAATGAGCATTAATATTAATTACTTTTATAATGCATTAATTATATCATTAATCATTTATAATTGATATACATACTTTATCATTTAAGTGAAATTTTATAATACTTTAGACACAAAAATAAAAACACTGAAGACACTGAATTTGATTTTGATTCTATATAACTAATGCAGTAAATCAAATTCAGCTCATACTCGAAAATTTTCACAATATTGGAGTTTAATTTTATTAATAGCATCTGTATATAATTGTATATATGTATAACATACATAAAACAGCACATTAGATTCAAATTAATCACTAAGGTTTTATATTTTAAAATAAATCCTTTGATAATTATTTGAAAATAATGGTTTGGGGGCTGGGGATTTAGCTCAGCGGCATAAGCGCCTGCCTTGCAAGCAGGCAGTCGTGAGTTCGATCCCCGGTACTGATAAAAAGGAAAAAGACAAAAAAAAAAAAAAAAAAAGAAAAGAATGGTTTGATAATTTTTTCTATTTCTCTTAGTTATTTTACATCTCAGTATCTCCCCTAATGTCTCAGTATCTTTACAACTCAGTACCTCAGTTTATGAACTTAATTTGTTCTACAATTCTGGAAAGAATGGCCATGTTCGTGCTTGTGCAGGAAAGATGGCCACGGTCACGTTTATCACCTGATGCGGAGTTCACAAACAAAAACAAAATTTTGCCAAAAAACAATTGTGGGGGCTGGGGATTTAGCTCAGCGGCATAAGCACCTGCCTTGCAAGCAGACAGTCGTGAGTTTGATCCCTGGTACCGATAAAAAGGAAAAAGACAAAAAAAAAAAAAAAAACCAATTGTGTTTGCAAACCAAACTGATCGTAAAAAAAAGTGTTTGTGAACCCAGGTACCACTAACACCAGTATCTTTATTTATTAACTGTTAAAACTATTATGTATGAATGGAGACTATAAAACACACATGGAGGCATACGAACAATTATATAACTCTGGATCTTTAAAATGTTACATATAAATATAAAATATCTAATGTTTGGTGAAAATACCTTTGCTCTTGCCATGAGAAACTTGACAGCTCGATCATGGCATATGTCTGAGGCACTATACAGTAATTCCTGGATATTATTTACCAGCTTTCCTAGCTCTACATCAGTTAATTTCATGTCTTCACTAATCCTGAAAACGACAAAATGAGAATTAAGGAAAAACCATAAACACAGTATTCTCTAAAAGTGATACATCAATAAAAAGCTGTAAAATTCATATTTGAAGAAAAATTTTGTAATCTACCAAATACTTTCTAGTTTTTAATGGTGAAATATCACTTAAATATGCTCAGATAACACATATTTTACCTAGTATCTTATAGAAGAATAACTATTTCTCCCTGCCATAGTGTTTTAATACTTAGTTCACACTCTAATCTGTGGAATGGAAAACAAAATATTATATATACACATACACACACAAAATAGAGTATTATTTGGCTTTGAAAATGAAGGAAATTCTGATGTACATACATTACAACATGAATGAACCCTGAGGACATTATTGCAAGTGAAATATAGTCACAGAAAAAAAGTACTATATGATTCTATCTGAATGTATGAACCTGAATATTTCAATTTATAAGACCGAAAGTAGACTGAAAGTAGAGGTGATTGCCAGTGGCTAGAAGAAAACAAAGTTCTTGACAGGTAGAGAGTTCCAGTTCTGCAAGATGAAAGTTTTTGAGATGCCGGGTTATACTATGTGAATATGTTAAACACTACTGAACTATATACTTAGACACTACTAAAATGACATATTTTGTTTCTTATCACAACTAAAAACTTTAAACAGTTGGATGTGATGGTGCATCTCTGTAATCCCAGTACTCAGGCTGACGCAAGAGGATCACCACAAGTTCAAGGCGAGTCTGTGTCACACAGTGAGTTTAAGACCTGCCTGAACATTACAGCGAGAACCTGTCTCAGAAAACATTAAAAATTTCTCTTAAAGAATTTCAGTCTTTCAATTTCTTCTCACTTTTTAAAACTCCACAACTCTAATATTTTCCATTAATTTTCTTTTCTATTTTCTAACTGGAAAATAATTTGTTCTTTTGTGCCTTTATCTACATTACACTAAACTATGAAAACTAAATCATTTTCACATAGGAAAAAAAGGAAAAATCTACCACTATAAAGTTAAAATGTTAGACATCATTTCTGCATATTCTACAGATTGTAGCACCACAGAAGTCACCGATCCCTTGTGCTAGGATGCTACAACCTGCAAGTTGTCAATTACTGTGTTGTCTTGTCTCCGTGGTCTTGATGGTTTCATCGGGTCTAAGAACTATTCCTCTAAACTGTTGCTCAAATATGGCTCAAGGGGCTATAACATTGTCTCAATTGCCAATCACTCACCTCCAATGTGGAACCAGATAAGACCAACAACTGGTATAGCATTCCAGTGTTGGGGGACACTGGAAACAATGACTAATTAGCAACATCTTCAGAAAAACTCTCATAAGGATATGAGGAGAAAATAGGGAAAGTGTGAGAGTTATAAATAGCAAGACAGAAGCCCTTCTGTTAGCCCTACCAAAAGGTAGGGTTAGAAGGTTATAAAGGAAGGGTTCTTACGCATAAGTACCTGATGATAATTATCACAAAGGACTCTGCCAAAATGCTAAGTTAGTTCTGAATCAACCTGAGCCTAACTTAACAGAAAATCTAAATCTTGAGATGTTCACTGGTAAAAAAGATTAAACTGGGCCAGGATAAACCTCAGCAGTATAAGTGCCTGCCTGCCAAGCACGAGCTCTTGAGTTTGATTCTTGGTATCAAAAAAAAAAAAAAAGTAAAAAAAAAAGATCAAATTTATATGAAGGGTAGACACACTGTTGAGGCATATCCTGCACATCACAGTCACAGAATTCCACATTAAGTATGGACTATATAGGCAGTGATTTGTAGTTGACCACAATGTGCCCCAGATAGAGTGATTAATATCAAATAGTACACACTACCAGAGAAGTATGAAGAAATTGTCTGCCCAGCCCAGAGTTCTTTCAACAGTCTAATGTAGCTGGCTCATGAAAATCATTGTGGGTTATAAAGTTACGTAAATTGCTATTCCCTGGCCATGCCACTGTGCCCAACACTGTTCCCTTGATTGAACAACTGATGCAGTTTGTGGAATCTTACGCTGTAGATTTTGTTAATGCTTTCTTTAGTATTCTCAAAGCTGCTGAATCCCAGAACAAGTTTGCATTCACCCACAACAGAGAGCAATGGACTTTTCAAGTGCTCCCTCAGGTCTACCTGCACAGTTCCATCATTTGCCATGTGATGGTGGACTTTGACTTGGACTTTGACTCATTATCCTGGAAATGTTTTTACTATATACATGGTATCATACTAATTTCTGAGTGTCTTATAGATTTAGGAAAATATCTGGAAGATACACAGGTACAAAGATGACAGAAATCAATCCCTACAAGGTACAGGAGTCTAGTACCACAGTAAAGTTTTCAGGGGTCTTATGATTGGGTAAATACACAGAATACCTCAACAGATCATTGAGAAAATTCTGTAGCATCTTATACAAATGGATGCAAAGTAATTATAGGTAGTACAATTACTCTTAAGGTACTGAAGCACTTTCATATCCCATGTTACTCAAGTTGTTCACTCGCTGTATAACTTGACAAAATGTAGAACCATGTGGAATGAGACAAAGGGCTGAAAAGACTTTTCAGAAAGTCTCAAAACTGTTTAGTAGTCACTCTGGTCCTGGCTGGGCCCCACCCAGTGACTTCCAGGTAGCAGAGAGCCGCTGCATGTGAGCTGAAGCCTGCCACAGAGATCTCTACCTAGTTGTGCAGCCACAGGACTTTGCCTACAACGTGGTAGGCCCCCGTGCAGTGTCCCAGAACACTGCAGGACCTCAGAGTCATCATTCCAGTCTTGGCTGGGCTCAACCCATCAACTTCCAGGTAGCAGGGAGCTACCATGTGTGAGCTGAAGCCTGCCAGAGATCCCTACCTAGTTGTACAGTCACGGGACACTGCCTGGAACCTGGTAGGCCCCTGTCCAGTACTCCCAAACACTGCAAGACCTTTGAGTTGTCACTCCGGTTCTGGTTGGGCCCTGCCTAGCAACTTCCAGGTAGTAGGGAGCTACCGCCTGTGAGGTGAAGTCTATCACAGTGATCCCTACTTAGCTGTGCAGCAGTGGGTCTTTGCTTAGAACCTGGTGAAGCCGTACCCAGAGCCCCCAAGTAGCAGGGGAGCTTTGGTGTGCTACATGGTGTGAGATGAAAGCCTGCCTAGTATACGCCATATACCATTCAGCATTATTACAGCACTCAGAACTTGGTAGGGCCCTGCCTAGGGACCTCAAGTAGCTGGGGGTACTCCCATGTGAGCAACATGGGGAGTGCTGAAGGTCCACCCAGTGTGCACCCTCATCTGGGGAGTCTCTAATTGCCACTAGGGAACCAAGGAATACAGAAAAACAAAAAAATGAAAGACCAAAATGCAATCTCAAACCTCAGTCCATGCCAAACAAGCCTAGGAGAAATGGACATAGAAGAAAATGTAAGCCATACACCTGAAACTTCTGAAATGATAGCAAAGGAAGAAAAGAAGCAACTCCAAGAAGCTATAAAGGAACTCAGATCAGAAATAATTTCCCAGGTAAAAGGAGAAATGATAAACATAATAAAACGAATGCTGAACACATCTAAAGAAGTTAGATGTAACTAACTTCTAGTACCTATAATTGCTTAGTTGAAAAAAATCAAGGAGCACTGCAAAAAGATGGAAGCCTTGCATGAACAACATAAGAAAACAATAAAATACATAAAACAGATTCAAGCAGGCATCCAAGAAACCAAAACTATCATCAAAAGTCGGCAAAACTGCATAAATGAATGTGAAGATAGACTTTCAAACCTAGAAGACAAGATTGAAGACAGTGAACAAGAAAGCAAAGATCTGTTAAAAATAATGAGAAACCAAGAAATAACAATTCAAGTTGGAAGGCAATACAAAGAAAAATAACATAAGACCAATAGATGTAAATGAAAAAGGTGTCAACACAAATAATATCAAGACTATTGACAGAATAATAACAGAAAATTTCCCAAATATGGGAAAGGAAACTGATATACAGATAAGTGAAACATAGAATTCCAATTAGCCATAACCTATATCTATACCCAGACATGAAATAATCAACATCTCAGAAATTCAACATAAGAACAGAATATTAAACATGGTTAGAGAAAAGAGATAGATCACCTATAAAAGAAAGCCTATCAGAATCACAGCAGACTTCTCAACACAAACAATGAAATCTAGAAGAGCATGGAGTGAGGTACTTCAAATCCTAAAGGAAAATTACTTCCAACCCAGATTGATGTACCCTGAAAAACTGTTCTTTAAAATGGATGGAAAAATAAGATACTTCCATGACACAGAAGAGCTGAAGAATTTCATGACCAAAGCAACCTTGCAAAGAATACAGAAAGATATTCTAAGATACACATAAAAACAACTCCAAGAACACCAACAGAAAAAAGCCACTATGTAGGGCAATTAAAGAGAGGGGAAAGGTAAAGAACCAACAACAGAAAGAAACATATAACCATTAATATAAACAGCCTCAATTCACCCATTAAAAGAAACAGACTGGCAAAATGGATCAAGAAACAATATCCAACCATATGCTGCATACAAGAAACCCATCTAATCCAAAAGGAAATTCACAGACTGAAGGTCAAAGGATGGAAAACAATACTTCATGCAACAGGAACTCAAAAAAAAAAAAAAAAAAAAAAAGCAGAGGTAGCTGTACTGTTTGCAGACAATATGAACTTCAAAGCATGATCAGAAGAGATAAAGAGGTCACTACATATTAGTTAGGGGAAAATTTCAAGAGGAACAGACAACACTCCTAAATATATGCATATATATGCACCAAATATAGCAGCATCTAGCTATATAAAACAAAAATTACCAGAAAAGAAAAATCAAATAAGGAATAACACAATTATAATGGGAGACTTTAGCACCCCTTTGACACAAAGAGACGGATCAACTACACTGAAAGTCAGCAAAGAAATAACAGAATTGAATCAAAATTGTGAACAAATGGACTTAGTAGACGTGTACAGAGGGCTCT